GTGAACCGGCAAAGACTGTACCGGGGGGAGGAAAAGGGTCTGGTGGAAGGTGAAAGGAGCTAATCTACGGAATGAAACATCGACGTTTGTCTCTCGAAGTTCGACTGCTGCTCATCTAACAGTAAATACTCTTACTTCTGTTTCGTCGATTTAGCGACGGCATGTGAAACGTTGTGGTAGGCTATACCTTGCTAATAGTGGCAAGCTTGCCCACAAAATTAGCCAAGAAGCGTTAACGTCGTCTGTTCAAGTTAGCCAGCGAAGAGTTCGACACATTTCTACACAGTTAAATGTCTTAATTTTTAGCGCACCTTGTGAAGTTTTTGGTGGGCATTAACATTAGCCTTCAGGATAAATTCTCGATCAAAATGGTTAGCTAAGGTTAAATGATATAAGAGTCAGTTGGTCGCCGACGTCGTTAGCAGTGATGTAAGATAAGTGCTAATGGTTAGCTTACTGTTTAGCTACGCCCATAGGCCTCACATTCCTTGACGAAAAACGTCAGTTTTATGTGGTGCTCACCTCATTTGTATTCTTTGTTGACAGTCGAATAATAGATTTCTCAATGTTCCCATTATATTGTCCTAATCGATCAATTAAGCACTTGTTTTAGGAAACTCAGGCCCAAGTTATTAAACGACAAACGTCAACATTTTCATTGGTTATGCGAGCGTTGTTTTGCTTTGCTTTGGGTATGTTGTTTAATTCATTGTATTTTTCCTTCATAGTTCCTAATTTTGAACATCCTCATAGCAAGAGTCTGACGTACAGGAGCTAAGGATCCCCGTAAACTTTTAAGGAAGAGATTCTGTTGTGACTGGTCCGCTCCGTTGCCGGGAGAAGGCCGAGCCTGTGACTGTAGTGACCTCGGTGTGAGAGGAGCATTTGCCCGTAGTGTGTAAGCAGTTCTCCCTATGTGTGTGACAATGGGAGACATCAGTGACCTGGACCGACAGATAGAGCAGCTCAGACGCTGTGAGCTCATTAAGGAAAATGAAGTCAAAGCACTGTGTGCCAAAGCCAGGTAATGGTTCAGTTTTGCCTTTAACACAAACACACAGATAATCCGATGTTTTTGTTGCTAAATATATACAGGAGAGTTTCATCAGAGCTCTTGACTTATACTAGATCCATCCACTTGTGTAGGCATCACTAGACATAAAGCAAATCAGAGCAAATAATGAAAATACTCTTGTTGTTCTGGTGGCATACTATGACTAGTTGTTTATAATATTTCCCACTTTATTAATGTTAATAGGGTTAGAATAAATACAGTTGGCTTACCACTTAAAACTTTTGGGGTTTGTTTTTATTACATTGACAGCAGAGTCATTAGACAATACGAGAGATGTGGTTTTGAAATGGCATTGCTAAGCTTCACAAAGCAAATACAAAGTGTATTTCCAGATATCTAATACTTTTACTCCCCGGGCCTATTTTGCCAAGGTCTGCAAATTATTTACATTTTCATCTCAGAATATCATTTAAAAGAAGTGTGTAGTATGGTATTGATGAGGTTTTTAAAGCTACAGTATGTAACTTAAAGTAGCACTAACATGAAACTCCAATTCACTCTGCTTCACCCAGCACTCCCTCTAACTGCTCCACTATGCTCTGCTTTTTCTGCCCAGCTCTTCAGATGTCGTTATGAAATTACAGTAAATGAGAATAGAGCAAAACTTACTGATCAGACAGAAATAATTGAAAATCTCTAATTGGTTAGAGAGGTCAATCCCACTTAAAACATTTTAGAAGCTAATGTCTCTGCACTGCTGCCAGTGTTATTCAGTGAGTCTGGTTTGCCAGCACATCTCCATATTAATACATGTTTTAAAACATATTTCTACAATAAAAATATTTGAAAAAAGGTTACATACTGCAGAACGTTAATTCATTGTTTAATGTATGTGTTTGTGCTTTTTCAGAGAGATTCTGGTTGAAGAAAGCAATGTCCAGAGAGTAGACTCTCCTGTTACAGTAAGAAACATTTTCTCACTATGTGTTTGCTCAGCATTTGAATAAACATAAAAATAAAAAACACTTATGTTTCTCCTAATTTTACTCATAGGTGTGTGGTGATATACATGGTCAGTTCTATGACTTGAAAGAGCTGTTTAGAGTAAGTTTGTTTGCTACACACTGCTCAGTACAGACCTAATACTCACTCTTTTATTTGCAATGTGTTAAATTAATTATTAACAATCTTTCCAGGTCGGTGGTGATGTCCCAGAGACAAATTATCTCTTTATGGGAGACTTTGTGGACAGAGGCTTCTACAGTGTTGAGACTTTCCTTCTTCTGTTAGCTCTTAAGGTACACATGAAGTTGAGCCTATGTCCACTACTGAACCATGCCATAAATGGAGCAAGCATGCTTACCTATTTTACTTAAAATGGTACAGTTGTTTTTTTGCCAACTAGCAAAAGATGTGTGTGTTATCTTTAAATAGAATGATGTTAACATGTGTGCATCCTCATGTCTGTCCTGGGATTTCATATCTATAGTCACTTCTCGGAGGTATACAGGGATCTATGAATAGGAATGGGTTCCAATTGTTGATTCTAATTTGGATCCGGTTCCATGTTTGGTAGAATACCTACCTTCATGAAGCTTCATGGTCAAATGAATCCCTCATCATTCATGTTCTCTGTTTAGTTGACACTCTTTGACACCTCTGATAACACATCGCCAGAGAAAAAGATCACCAAACTTGTGATAACTCAGCAACACAATTGTAATATGTTGTGTTTTGTATCAGTAAATGTAAAAAAAAGAAAAAAAAATCTTGTAAACAAAAAGACAATCTAACCTCCAATGTAACATAATAAGGACAAGTGCTCGGCCTACAGCCAGTGTCGGTGTAGCATTCCATTTTGCTTTCAGGTAACACTAAGTTCATAGTGTGCAAAATATCAGTGATTTATTTAATTGATATTCACAGGATGGTATAGTATAATTAATATTGTTTTCTGTGTTTTATTTATTTGACCTTGCACAGTTTCTGCTGCTTCAGCACAGCCCCCAGTGAGGAGTATTGGGGAAATATTAAATAATTAAGTCAAGAACACAAGATCTGTCTTTAGTGACATTTAATAAAGCTTTTATGAAAGGGCTCAGTGCATTAAGAAAGCAAAAGGTCTCTACAGCAAGATCAAATTAAAACAAGAGCACTCCCTACTTATAATCTTGCTGTCAAAGTATGTAGAGAGAACATCTTTGTGTACAGAACACTGTTCTGTATCCCCCCTGCCATTCTCATAACAAAGGCACCAGACAGATGGCAACACTGAACACAGGTCAGCACTAAGATGTAGATTGGCTTCTCTCTACTGTAGAGGTTTTAACAATAGTTTAACCAATATAAAACAGTGTCTTTTGCTTAACATTGCACTTTATTTATACATGATTATTTGATTTCTTATAATTTCCACAGTTTCGCCATAGGAGAAAATGCAGCACAAGGAAACACGAGTGAGGATAGGATTAATGAATGTCAGAGCAGTGACAAGATAAAACAAACTACAGCCCTTGTCCATGGTTTAGGTTTGATAGTTAATTACTGTAGTTTCTATTAATTAGACTGTCTGGTAAATGGTCTATAATCACAATTAAAATAACCAGTTTTTGACATGGGTATAAAAGCTGGATTCTTAAATATTACACTGCTACACAAATTAGTATAAATTTGTTTTGATGCTGTAGTGAGTGAAATCAGTGCTTCTTTCAAGCTAACATTTCCTAATCAGGTTAGATAAGTGGATTTTTAACTGGATTCAGATTTAATAGTATGCAATTAAACCCCATCCTGAGGTACTGTGCTCATCTTTTTTTCTTCTGCTCTGCTCCTAAGGTGCGTTATCCAGACAGGATAACCTTGATCCGGGGAAACCATGAGTCCCGGCAAATCACCCAGGTATATGGATTCTATGATGAGTGCCTCCGCAAGTATGGCTCAGTCACTGTCTGGAGATACTGCACTGAGATCTTCGACTACCTATCCCTTTCTGCCATCATTGATGGCAAGGTGAGATGTATTGTCTAGTATTCCTGTTGACTTTCATGAAAATGGAAGTTAATGCACTAAATTTCCTAACATGCAGGTGGTTGGTGGAGTAACTTCTCAGTCTTTCTCTGTCCATCAGATCTTCTGTGTGCATGGCGGCTTGTCTCCCTCCATCCAGACACTAGACCAGATACGGACCATTGATAGAAAACAGGAAGTGCCCCATGATGGGCCCATGTGTGACCTCCTGTGGTCAGACCCTGAAGGTATATACAGGAATTTATCAAGCCTTGTGAACACTGCATGGTTAAGCTACAAGCTTATATTCAGAGGAAACCTTATTTGTCATGATGAAGGGCAAACTGCAAATAGTGGGGGATGATGATTACAGGTGTAGTAGACCACAGTAACAAGGTGTGTTGTCTTGTTGGCTGTGATATCCATTCTACGCTGTGGGATATGTATACACAGCACACTGTGTGCTAGGGCTTTGGCATGGCAATGCACAGTGTGAACTGATTGGAGAATGTTTAGAACAGGAGTATGTACACATTGATTGGTGCGTATAGTGTGCACACCTGTAGAGGAGATGGCACGTGGATTGTAACCACACTGATGTTTGCTTCTTCAATGACATGGGCCTCTTTTTATAAAGGTTGCTAACTAATTCAGGCTAAAATGCTAATAAGTGATGTCTGAAGCCTCGGTGTGAGAGAAGCAGTAGTGTTGTGTGTGTGGTCACATAATGATTGATAGCTGTGAGCTCCCACCTTTAACGGTGGAGGCAGTATCTCTGTACTGCTCCAATTACCTGTATGTATGCAGCAAAAATCATAATTATATCAATGGTCTTTGATTATATCAATAGGAAAGTGAGCTATTTGTATCTGAAAACTAGTTCATCCATATGGTTTACCCTAAAATGTCTTGGCTGTGTTCCAGCTAACTGTCAGTAAGCGGCACTTTGCAGTTTTGGACTTTGATGACTTGTTGTTCTGACAAAGGTTTGATTTTTAAACCAGCTTCAAAGAACCAAATATCCAGATTAATCAGTCATCAACAGTCTAGTCAGGATACCTGTTGCTGCTGGAGTGTACAAAACCGTTATAAGCGGGTGACCTGCTATGCCACCAAATAAAATAATTTTAGATGCTGAATTTAAGTGATGCATTTTAGTCATCTGGGGTATGTGTCATCAACTGGTGGCCCACGGGCCCCATCAGGCCTTCCAAAGCATTCCATCCAACCCATAGTATATTAATGAAATCAGGAAATAGTAGGAGGAAAAATGTGTTCTGGTATTTAGAATATCTACAATTTCTTTTCATTCAAAACCCCAGAAACAATTGAGATTAAAATAGTTTTATTAGGAATGATTTATTGATCCCAAATACTGTATGTGCGTTCAACCCGTGGGTTCTAAAGACGTAATAAACTGACAGATGGGTTTATAATTGGAGAGCATCCTACACAACCTGACGCAGGAGTCGGGCACACCGCATTCACAAAGCTGTGAATAGCAGTAGCCTGGGCACAGGGGCTCTCGGGTGTGTTTTTAATATAGCTTAATACTATAAAAATATATTGTATTCACTGTGTGTTTGATGTTGTGAAGTGATCATCCGCCAGAAACCAATTGCGGTCTGTGGGAGTGTGTAGGCTGTTAAACGCATTGCCCACTTTAACTATACCTATAACTGTTTTGTCAAAATCAAATAGTCAGAAAACACAAAAATACACACAACATGCTGTATATCTCCATGGTAGTAGCAAATGTATGTTTTTAAAACTTGACCTTTTGAGGAAATTATAACTGAACAGTGAGTGACAGCAGTGCATACTGAGGCTGGACTGACCACCTGCTGTCAGTGATGGCTGTTTCTATCGGTTACCATGGCTCTTGAGTTGCTTTGCTGTGTTATTTTGAGTGACAATGTGTAAAAACTGATTGTGGGTTTGGTACCAGCTGGAGTCCATGTCCTCAACAACAGCATTCCCCGGATTTAGTGTATTTGATGACCCCTGGTCTAGGGCATGATCTCCATCTGAAATATCAGCCCAGTCCTAGAAAATAATTTCTTGAAAAAAAAAAAAAAAGAATAGAGCCTTTGTAGAATAATTTTCAGAGTTTACAACTATCTGTCCGTGGTCCTTTTGCTATGTTAGAATCAGCTCTTCACCTGACCTTCACCTGCTTTTTCTCTCCCTGTTCTCAGACACAACAGGGTGGGGGGTGAGTCCTAGAGGTGCTGGATACTTGTTTGGGAGCGATGTGGTTGCCCAGTTCAATGCTGCCAATGATATCCACATGATCTGCCGAGCACACCAGCTGGTCATGGAGGGCTACAAGTGGCACTTCAATGAGACAGTGCTCACTGTGTGGTCAGCACCCAACTACTGCTACAGGTAGGGAGTTGATGGAAAATTAAATTACTAAAAAGGTGTGCATGAAAACAGTTGTAAGCTTGTACATTTGGGTTTTTTCCGGCAGTCATGTGACAGTTGACTTTTGCTATGAGCTGTTGTGTTCTTGATGATAGGTCAAATACATATGTGAAGGTCTAACATTAATCATTGACCCTGACTGCTCTCAATCATTACAACACTGCTCTGTTCTGTCTGCTCACCAGTAGGGGTCATAGCCTGACTCTTATGAATTATCCTGAAAAGTGCCATATTTACATTGTGAATCAGGTTGGTTGTAAAATCAGACAGACTATGGTTTAATTTTAGGCAGCTGATTTGATCATCAGTCTCAATATTAACTTTTATAAGATCACAGTTCCAATGTTCCTAGTGGAATATTGATGCAAAATATTCTTGATTCATTTGTGTTGCACATAAAATGACAAAATGTATGAGCCAGTGTTATAAATGTGTAAACCTTATTCCAAAATCAAAGCCATACTGCATTATGTCAGATGAAAAAGAAACGGACGCACAGCTTTTTGGACATGACGCTCATAGAAGCATTTTAAAAAGCTTTAAAACCTTTAGCATCTGATTGCCAAATTGTCATAAAAATCGTGCTCTTTAGAGTTGGAACTTTTTTTGTTTGTTTTGTTTTTGGGCTGACCAGTGGGAGCCCAGACCGAATGCTTATGTCTCCGTTCTCGGCTGACATTGTGCTGCAGCTAACCGTACCTCTTTGCCCATCTCGCAGTACTTTGGGTAAAAAAAACAAACAAACAAAAAAGCTAATGAATGTTCTTATGTAATATATAAAGTAAAAGATGACAGACAATGGATCTTCATAATCATTTGCCTGTACACCATTCCACCGAATCTGCTAAATTTCCATCGTTGATGTGAGATTAACTGTTGGAGCAATAAAGAAGCAGTCATTTATCTCCAATTGTTCAGTGGTGTTACAGAGTGATGCCTCTTTACCTCATAAACGATCTTCGGCTAATGGCAGACAACTGTGTTGTTGCTCCGTTGGCTGCAGTGAGGTCACAAACCTGATAACAGATAATATCATTTTGTCATGTCATCAATTTAGGAGTCAATGTTTGTTATCAACAGCTGATACTGTATGACCCCTACTGGTTGTCATTTTAACCAGAAGTGGCAACAATCAGCAGAAGCTGCTACTTGAATGATTTCCACGCTGAGGTTTGCTAACAAGATTGTGGCACTGTTGTTAAGGTGATCTGGGGGGGCTCAGAAATAAGTTTAAATTTCCTGCTGTCTCAAATATTCCAATACTAAAAAAAAAGTTGAATATTTGGGTCCAGGCCTAGCTTTTATGGATACAAGCAGCCACTCAGTCTTACACACCACAGATGCTATTCTGTGTTTACATTCCCCCACCCCTGCAACTCCTTCACCCAAGTTGTGAACAGTGGTAGGCTGTGATGTGTTGGGTACCAAAGTGTAGTCTGTCATATCCCTCATCTAAGAATTTGACTCTACAATCGTGTAATCTGACATAGTGGCCATCTTATCAGACAAAACAAATCTGTGTAGTCTGAACCATATCATTATCTTAACTAAATGTCTGTAAGTGTACTTGGAAACCAAAAGTCTTTGCTTATAACTCCAGAGAAAAAGGATGAACATTTATCTGTTTATATATACAACTCTAATGTTCCACCAGAGTGAGTAGTTTGAGAAGATCTGCTTTGGAAAACATCAGTGTTCTGGTTTACTCTCTAAATTACTTTTGTGTTACCTGCAAATATGCAAATGCCCTAACCAGTTCTTTGTGTTTGAATAATCAGATGTGGTAATGTAGCAGCCATCTTGGAGCTGGATGAGCATCTACAGCGGGAGTTCATCATATTTGAGGCAGCACCACAAGAGACCAGAGGCATCCCCTCCAAGAAACCAGTAGCTGACTATTTCCTGTGAAGTCTTTGAACAGACGGCCATGATGTGTTGAAGTCTTCAGTACCATTTCACACCGGCCACCCTCCATCCTGCTGCTGGACAGTTCTATCAGTCTGAACTCAACGCAGTTAGACAGAAAACCTGCCAAACCCCATGAAGCTCTGTACTGCTTCACTTTGAAGAGCTGGATTTTTGCCGTACTGCCCAAACCTGACAGATCAGTCACTGTGAAAGGTGTAGAGGTGAGGTGGATACTGGGCCCAAGACTGTTTATCACTTCTCCTAATCTATATGAGATGGCCATTCTTTTTCTGCCCTCAGTCTCTTTCCATTCCCATCTGTTGTCCTCCTCACTCTGTAGATATGACTCTCCCTCCTTGGCTTCACCTTCACCACCCATTTAATATTTTACATGACGAACATTATCATTTAGTTTTAGAAGTCTCTTTTAATTAGTATGCAGATATAGGAAGTTTCACAATTTTACCACTTAAGGAATTCCTTTAATGCATATGTTCTTTTTTGATTTTGTATAGTTGTTGCAGCCAGGATTAAATGCAGAATGACCGATCTCCCACCACCTTTTTGCTCCTGTGTTTCCTTAACTGTCATTTGTCATGTGTGTTACTATTTAACATACCTAGTGCTGCTGCCCAACACCATCACAGATAAATACCAGAAATATAGCAACTCCCAACAGGAGTCACTATATTCAACATTCTTTTTTCTTTGTTCCTTTTAATCTACAAACCTCTGTAGGTCTGTCAATTTTGATATTGTGAGAATAAAGTTTTGTATCAATGCTGATTTATTTTCAGATGTGATTTTAACGGCATGTGCATGCTAACCATGTTTGCATATCCAAATTGTCTGACATCCCTGCTCGTCAGTAGCTGAAGTGGAGAGGTTCCTGTTTTAAAGGGTCAGTTTAGTCAAAACCTTTGCAGATAAAAACCATTAGCAGCTTTTTATGTTATTTCTATAGAGCACTGCAGCATAACATGTCAAAAGCCAAGCTGATTCTGTACCATCAGTAAGACTTTCTTTTCGTTTACACACATGCCAGGTATCTTAACAATGTCCCTGTTTTGCCAGGTTGCCTGCTTGTGTAAAATGTAAAACCATTAGTCACTACAGCCTAGACCAAACTTCACTTAGTTGCTGTTTAGTAAATGTTGTTGGTGACTAATTTGGGCTCCAGTTCTCAGTCTGCATATCTCAGGAAACCGACTCTGCCAGTATGTGCCAAAAAAGAACAGCACTCTGTCTCTTCTCAGTATCACTGCTGACTAAAGCAAGGCACTGATGCTGCGTTCGACACAAAACAGAGGTCAGAGATTTCCTACCTTAGTTTTTAAAAAGCTATAATAGGACCTTTTTAAGAAGAAACTCCTACTGGAGTTGGACCATTTTTATGCAGCCAGACTTCAATGGGAAGCAGATGCTATGACGTCACTAAATATTGCAGCATCCACAGAAACTGGTTTCAAATGGTATTAAGTGAATAAAGTATGTCTAGATAATTCAGCAGTTGCCTTAGTTCGTCCTCTTTTTGTTCAGCCTCTGGCAGCTCAGCGATCCTCTGCTCTGGACTGACAGTGTTGACAACCTCAGTTACTTCTTCAGTTTGTGATCCCTGAATTGAGACCACCAAACAAATCATTTTTCTTTTCTCCACCTCTCCAAGTGTCTCAATTTCCCACTCACTGGAGTAGCTTTTGCTCTTTAGCACTGTATGGTTCAGAGACCATTTCTATATGCAAGTAACTGATTAAAGGTGTGTCTACACCTGCTTATGGTTAAAGGTGGGTGGGTGTGGAAAGGAAGCTCGTGGACGTGCGCCAAGTTCCATGATTGAGATTTATAAAGTAGAAGCAGGCGTACAAGCATCTCTATATATCTAATGAAAACAATACGTAAGCCTATTTCTGTCATAGTGCATATACTTAGCTTTATACAAATTGTGTCTGAACTGCCATTTCCAGGTCTCTCCACAGATGTTCTTTGTCAGAGACTTGTCCTGAAGCCACTGCAGGGTTGTCTTGGCTGCACATTTCAGGCCATTGTCATGCTGAAATGTGTACTATTACCCCAGTCTCAGAATTAAAGCAAACAAGAAGCACCTGACCACAGTCACAAGGGCTCTGAATACTTATGTAAATGGGAGGTTTCAGTTTTTTTATCAATAAATTAGAAAAAAGTCTTCCTGTAGTTAATCAAGTTATACACTGTCAAATTACACTGAATAAATAACGGTTTGAAAGGTAAAACCTATTTTTTATGGATGCAGTAATGGACGGGTGGCTTTGAATAACGGTGTCAACAGCAGCGTTTTAATAAAATAAGTTAGGCCTATTTAATAGGTGAGTGTTTGTGTGGAGCAAATAAATATGGCAGGTCACACAAGGAGATGCACGCTCACTAAGCGAGGCTCTTCCTATGGAAGTGCACTGCATTCACCAAAAAAACAAAACAAAACGAAAGAAACTGGAACATGTAATGAGCTGTCCCAGGTTAAGGCAGGAGAGGGGAATTAAAACATACAGTTTTAAAAGGTGGAATGAACTTTAGTTTACCGGAGGTGTTGGGACAAAGGTCAGGGGATATAGGATACAGAGCACTTATTTGGTTTTTAGAGAGCACAGGGTTACGCAAGATAATATAAGGTGAACTGAGTGGGGTTTGATGTTGTAGTAGTTGGGGGCCGTTATGATCCACACTCCAGTCTGGAAGGTGGCGGTAATGCACCTAAAGCTGGTTGCCAACCTCCATTAAAAACACAAAAGAAGAGGGCGAAGTGTAAGGCTAGGATCAACCCAAACATTTCATTTGGAAAAATAAACCACACAAGGTTAAAAAGGAAATTATGTGTTTACCCCTTACAGAGGGAGGGCTCAATGTTTTAGACTTTTCTTCATTTAACCATATTATTAAAATCAATTGGATCAAAAGATTTCTAAAAGATCCAGATAGCATGTGGAATATCATCCCAAATTTCCTTTTTAAAAAGGTTGGTGGTCTTAATTTCTTATTAATGTGTCCCTTCGCTGTGGGCAAGCTCCCAGTCAAACTCTCCAACTTCCATAAATCAGCACTTATGAGCTGGTCTCTACTGTACAAGCACAACTACTCTCCTCATAAATATTTCTTATGGAATAATGCCATTATCACTTACAACAACAAATCCTTGTTCTTTGAAAACTGGTTTAAAAATAACATTGCACTTGTAAAACAACTGTTTAATTGTGATGGAGTTCTGTTATCATATGAGAACTTCATAGCTAAGTACAGGTTCCCTGTTTCCCAGCATGAGTTTAATACTGTTATTAATGCACTTCCGTCTGGCATTCTCAGTTTAGCACGCTCCTGCTCAAACACGCACAACTCTATCAATTTAGATATTGCTGTTAATGGCACTTCTATCTTTGATAAAAGATTCAACAACATCTTTATAAGAAACTCCCTCATTCCAAGAACAACAACAGCTGTTAAACATAAATGGCCACACCAGACTCTTGGTGGAAGAACATGGAACACTGTTTTTACTTTGCCCTACAAATTTGTCTTGTCCAACAAAACTAAAGAACTTTTCTTTAAAATCTTACATAAATTTTACCCAGTAAACTCTATTATTTGTAAATACATTCCAAACATAGAAGAAAAATGCTCCTTTTGCAACAATGAGCTAGAAACTTTAGAACATCTTTTTTTTCAGTGTGCACATGTAACAGTATTTTGGACTGACTTCTGTTTTGATCTCAAAAATTATCTTGGAAAGGAAATTGTACTTAAAGAATATAATATATTATTAATTTTTGACAAGCCTCATTTCTCTAGCAATGAAAAATTTGTTATTAATCTTTTCATTATTTTGGCCAAATTCTTCATCCATAAAATGAAATTTCTGAAAAAATCACCATCCTTTTCAACCTTTAAACACTCTGATCTCAACAACTACTTCCATTTACTGTTACAATCAAACCACCCCAACAAGAAACGAACCAAAACCATTGACCTGCTTAAACATTTTAATTTTATATCTGAATAGCTTTACCTCCTTGTATTTTCTTTTCTTTGTTCTCACTTATTTGATGTTATTGTTCTTTTTCACCTCCTTTTTATATGCCTAATTTTGTCATATTATACTCTAAATCCGCTGTTATACACAGAGCTGCAAAGGAAGTTAGGAAAAAGACAACACCCGAAAACGTCAGACTCCTTTTCTTCAGCGGTTTATCTGGTGAGACAAAACCTAGCAGGTAGACACACTGCAGTGTTTCTTCTTGATTTAAGTGGCCTCTCGGTTTACCAAATAGCCTCCCACAGGTGAGTATTATAGTGTGTTATGTTTTGCGAAATGTGTTTGGTCTGAGATTTATCTGCTACGTAGTTGTCAGACCCTCAGGTAAATGTGAAATTACTTTCTTTAGACAAACAAAATGTTTGGGCTTCATATTTTGGGCCACACGTTGCAGTGACCATGTCGTTGCATTAGTTAATATTAAATCTCGGCCAAAATGTTCAGGCTAATTCATCTGTGAACTTCGAACCAGCTTTACAACCAGTCTACCACCTGTCTGTCTGTCTGCATGCGTCACCCCACTGAGATACACACACAGACATGCACGCACGCACGCACGCACGTACGTGTCAGCACAGCCATACACTCAACTTTAAAAAGCAGTTTCGGCTTGCAGATATTTAACAAACGTTTTCTGTCCGCTACAAAATATACGAAATGACTTGGGGGGCGTCCCTAAAATGCATCACGAGTATTGGATTTTGAAAGCTCGTCTTGGCTGTTTTGTGAGTTAGCAGCAATATTCGAGGGGTCGTCTCATTTCTCGAACAGACATGTCCATAACTAAACCTGTGTGGTTTTACTGTATCGTTAATAAATATTTGCCAACATGTCCTTGTTTCCTCACGTTACCTTTAGGGTCCTGCCAGTAGTGATGGGAAGTTCGGATCATTTTACTGATTTGGTTCTTTGAATCTCATTCAGTAAAACGAACGAATCTTTTTTCGAGTCATTTCGTTCACTTCAGCAAAATGTAATTAAACTGTTACATGTTAATTCCTCTTCAACTTACGCACATATTGATCACGTTTTGAATAAGAAAGAACTGTAATAATACAGCCAAGGTCATATTATAAATAATATCCTACCTGTGTCTTGAGGCTATGCAGTCTGTTACTTCATCTGCTCACCTCCCACCTTGTGAAGTTTACAGCAGTAACCAACTCTTTATTAAAACATTGTGTTATGGAAAAGAACCATATTGACAGATATTCACAAAATTATAGTCTGCAGGAAATAAAAAGCTATTTTATAATAAATGCATCACGTAACAGTAAGAGTAAAAACAGTAAGGACGGTTGAAAATTAACTAATTTCTGTATCCAACAAAACGGTCATGTCACGTTACACGAACAAACGACTCTAAAGGTGTACTAATCTTATGCGATGTTGCACATGTGCGGTCAACACAAATTGAACAAATCACTCCCCGAGGCGACCCGATGTTCCCGAGTCATGGGAAAGATTTGTTCAAATCGAACAAATTGTTTGTGAATGCCACATCACTACCTGCATGACTTTCTTTCTGTTGTAATATTTGAACAGGCCTGTCGGGTCTTAATTCAGGGTGTGTCCATCCTGTTTGGCACCATGGTGGCCCACTTAATTGGCAGCACACTACCCTATCCTAATAATGGTATTATGAACAGGCTTTCACTTCATGAGGTTCACTTCAGGTCCAATTGTAAGATAGGCTATCCATCTGTTATTTGGAGCAATTCTACAGAGAAATTCTTATTATGTGAAACAATACATTTAATTCTATATTGAACTAATACAAGGTAAGTTGTATTTGTCCGAAAATGACACAATATCTTAAACCACCCACTCTTAACAAATCTAACCAGTTGTAACCTATCAAATAAAATAAAATTGACTGTTGCAGCTTCTCAGTTGTCAGTTTTCTAATCTTGCTTTTCTCCGTTTAAAGCTATTTGGAAGCTGATATTTCTGTTTATGTTCCAGGTGATAAGATGGACACCCAGAGCCAGGTTGTAGACAAATTGCGGTCTGCGTTTCGTTCCGGTGTCACAATACCAGAGCAGTTTCGTCGAACCCAGCTGACTAAGCTCATGTCCATGATCAAAGACAATGAGGAGCAGTTTTTAAATGCGCTGCACAAAGACCTCTCAAAGGTACAAGATTGAGCTTGTGCAACACATTATTAACTCAACACATGATTACACAACTAATCCCAAAGTGCTGTCCAGTTAGCTGTCCTGATAATTTTGCTGTTCAACATTTTTAAAGGCTGTAACACAATAATCTGAAAGAAAAGCTGCTAAGTGCTTTCCTTAAAGAAACAAACTTTAAAGACAGCTCAGATTTTCTAATCAGTTCACACAAACATTTGAACACTTATTTAAAGTGTCCATTTGTGGTTCAAAAAAAGCAAGCATGCAGGGTGTTGAAGCATAATTTTTCTCCAACAATTCAAAAGGCACTAACTTCTCTTTCTTATTGCTGCTCCGGCACATCAGCCGAAGTTTGAGGCCATCGTGTCGGAGATTGATATAGTGATCAATGAGCTGCACTATGCCATTGCAAACTTGAAAAGCTGGATGCAGCCGGAGTATGTCAGCAAAAGTCTGGTAGGTTTAATAAGGATTCCTTAAACTGTCTGTTGCATACATTTTATATATTTACAGTAAACAGCAGAAGTGAATACACCTGTGTGCAGTATCACTTCATGTCAGTCGTCACACTGACGATTCTCATGTTGACATTTGGCATGTGTTTTACACCGGATGCCCTTCCTTACGCAACCCTGACTCAAACCCGGGCCGCAGCAGCAAGAGCGCTGCACCTAACCACTACTCTATCAGGGTCCGCTCAGATTACGATCCATTATGTTTTTCACTTCATTGTATGTTCACCTTTATTTTTGATGATGTATTGCACAGATTTCTGGAGAGATGTTCACTTTTTTTGTGCTCCTAATATTCATCAGCCTTCTTTTCATGTTATTTAGCAAAGCTTAATTTAGCAGTTTTGTGTGCCAGTAAGCAAGTTAGGGTTTTTTCTTGGATCATGGATGAGAGGAAATACACGATGGGAATATTTATTGACCTAAAAAAAGCATTTGACACAATCAATCATGAGTTTTTAATGGATAAGTTAGAAAAATATGGGATCAGAGGAATGGTTCTGAATTGGATTAGAAGTTATTTGACACAGAGGCGTCAATTGAGTGAGCTGGACATTGTATGTGGAGTGCCTCAGGGTTCTGTTTTGGGACCTAAATTATTTATACTATACATTAATGATATAT